TGGGATGGAGTCCCGCATCGGGCTCCCTGCTCAGCAGGGAGTCTGCTTCTCCCTCTGACCCTCCCCCCTCTCATGTGCTCTCTCTCTCTCAAATAAATAAAATCTTTAAAAAAAAGAAAAAGAAGTGATGTTTTGCCAAATAAACCAAGTCTTTATTTCCAAGATGAATTACTCATATGGCAGAGAGGTTTTTCCTTGTTGCTTATCCATTTTATTAATCTTCTTTTGACTTTTCCTCACCTGAAGCCATGGTTGGGACTTCGGTGAGTTCCCTTTAGCTTCAGGTTTGAAGATAACCGTGGTCCCACTGTGAATCATGGAGACCGTGAAATCCACACCAATGAGTGTGTACAAGAAGTAGGCAGGGACAGGCAAGATGGTAATGATGATGAGGATGATGAGCAAGACCTTAGCCCATGATGGATAAATTCGGATCACCTCATTTGACTGTGGAGAAAGGGAAGGTTTAGAATACCCAGGTTCTCTGAAATGGAAGGCTACAAAGGTTGGGGGTAAGACATGAACTAAGGCCAGAGACTAGATAACTGAATCCCTAAGGGAATCAGGGAATAAGGTGACAGAGTCTTAGAGGCCAGAGGAGATTGAAAAGTCCTCACCCACTCCCACTCCCTAGAGGGTTCTGGGGTCTTAGAGGAAGGCTCACAATGTTTGAGTCCCAGGCCAAGTAGGTGATGGTCTTCAGAGACAGATGAAGCAGGGTGCTTACAAACAGGACTAGCAGCACAAATGGAGACAGAAAACACCACAGCCAACGATAGATGGGAGAGATGGGGTGGCCCAACATGATAATCAAGTCTGCAAGGAACCTGGGAGGAAGGGTCACAAGACTTTGGGGGAGCCTGTTCAGGCCTTACCCAGCCCTGGGGAGGAATCAATCCAAACTCAGCCTAGGAGACAAAGCTTCACATTTCTTAAAACTTTCTGTTCACCTCCACAACCCGTTTTCTTGCCTCTAATTCATCACCTTTCAGTGTGATTTCTGTCCCAGCCCCATGATTTAAAAAAAAAAAAAAAAAATTTCTCTCCTCCATCACCCTCAGGATAAAAGCCAATATATCCAGTCTCTGAATGTAGTTTCTTCATGCCCATATAGCCAGGTTTCTTTGGTGCACCTTCTTAACTCCAACATATGTGCACGTTGGGTTTCTTTTGCCTAGAATGCCCTTTCTTTCTTTCCCTTGACAAACTCCCCTTCCTCTGTCTAGATTCTGTTCAAGCATCCTCTCCTTGCCTTCTTTAGATAACCATCTGTGTTCCCAGAGTGCCCTCAGCTGCCTATGATAGATAGGCTTACTATCCTGCCCCCAAATCTACCTTTGTATGTCTTCTTCTTTCAACTCTGAGAGCAGAAACTCAATGTAATTTATCCCAGTATCCTCAGTGCTCACAAGGCCTGTCTGGTCCTTGGGGACACTCTGGGCAATATGTGAGAGTGAGTGTATGATCAGCAAACTGATGCCAAGAGCCACCATCACCTAGAAACATCGCCACATTTAGATTACACACTGTTTCTCAAATATTAGTGTGCATACAATTTACTTGCGGTTCTTATTAAAATGCAGATATGGATTCGAAGGTCTGGGGTACAGCCTGAGGGTCTGCATTTCTAATAAACTCCCAGGTGATGCCAAAGCTGCTATTCCAGAGCACACTTTGAGAAGCAAGGAATTACATGCCCACACCACCCTGGTTAAAAGTAGGGCTCAGGAGCCCCTAGGACTTGATAGGGACTGTCCACCATTTTTCCATTCTACACCTGTTTTCTCCAGGAGTCAGCCCATGCCTTCTCCTTCCCACCTCCCTGGGGGCTCTCCAAAAGCCCTGGCTCAGAGGTCTGACAGTGAGAGCAGGAGGGCCAATACTCCCTAGGGGACCTCACTGTGTGGGTGCATGGCTGCAGATTCTGGGCTTGGGGCATCACCTCCTGGCTCCATAGATCCAGGCCATGGCTATGTTCTCCAAGATGACAATGAAGAACAGGGGCAGAGATACCCAGTAATCATCCAGCAGGTTCACATAGTAGCTACCCGAAGACGTCACGAAAATGAGGCTGCCCAGGTACATAGGCACACAGACGCCCACTGAGGGAAAACATCAGATTTGGATCAAGGTCAGAATTCATACTAGGTTGTGTAAGAATCCCAGTAGGGTTAAGCTAAACAATGGTCCTAGGTGGGAATGGGGTCATAGGTTAGAGTACCTGTGAGCAGATTTGTATATTTCCTGAGGGAAGAGAAAGTGTCCTGGAGAGGGGTAACAATGCCCTGCATGATCCCGATCATGGTGCTCAGCCCCAGGCTTGCCAGCAACACGAAGATGATGATGGCCCAGAAGGTGGATCCAGAAAACACAGAGGTGATATTGGTAAATGCCACAATGGCCACACCGGGACCCTCCATAACCTGTGAGTGATGGCATGAAGGGCAAGAGCTCTGAGCTCACTCTGTAGAATCTTAACTGCATTCCTGTCCCCTCCCCTAGGAAACAATCTGTAGCACCATCAATAGACATTGGTAAACTCATCTGGCCTTGAGGCAGGAGGACTTCATCTGACAACAGCTGCTGGTCTGGCAACTCTTTTGGGTTGGAATGAACATGCTTATATGAACTCCAGTGCTTGGTGCTACAGAGGCTACAACTGCCTTATTGCAATAGGGTACTGTGAACCTTGGTCTTGGTTGTCCAGTATGCTGTCAAGAATTGCCTTTCTGGATTCTAGAGACCCCTATGGAGAGCTGAAGTTTCTGGTGCACCGGGGGTTTTGAAGGGAAGATAAGGACCCCATCCCCAACCCTTACCTACCTCCTTCAATTCATGAGCTATGTTGCAATTGGTCATATAGGGTAGGACTGTGTCTTTGGTTTGTTTAGGGAGGCTCTTGAGCCACGTGGAGTAGATGGAGCTTGGATCATGATACATACTGTCTGGGGGGTGGGCCTCGGCAGGCAGCACCCCAGAAGCTATCAGATACAGCACAGTCTCAGCATTCCTGGAGACAGGGGTAGAATTACATAAAATCATTATGGCCCTTTAAGATAACTTCTCTTACCTTCTACATGAGAAGGAAAACCACTAGAGTTTTTGTCCTGCACTGAAACCTAGGTCTCCAGGGTCCCAGTGCTCACTGTCTGACACCTACTTTCATAAGGTGTCTGCCGGAGGCCAGAGAGTTTCTGACTTAAGTGGGGCCCTGGAGGGGGTCTTTTGTACAATGTCATGTAGGGTTTTAGGACCTATACCTCCTACTAGATAATCTTAGGACAATGTTAAAGCTTCTCAGCTTTCTTGACCTACTGGTCTCTCCAATCTCCTAACATATAACTCTTCACCTTCTCTCCTTCGGCCACACTCAACTATTCAACCTCCTCCAACCTGCCATGCTCCCCATCATCTCTGTATCTTTGGCACATGACATTCTCTCTGCCTAGAACCACCCCCACTCTGCTCCTGCTCAGTCTACCCCAATTCTACCACTATACAGTTCTCCATGTGCAAATTCCTACAAATCCTCACTCAGCTCCCTGAACCCTATTTACTGCCATGGAAAGCTAGTCAAGATCCATTTCCATAAAAGCAAGTCAACAAGCTGCAGAAAAGTAGTATGGTATGATCCAATTTTTTTAATGGTATGTTTTTATATGTAGGTATATGAATGGGAAACATTTGAAAGAATACTAGCTGTGGTTATTTGTCAGGAGACAGACTGAGCTCAGGAATGCCTCCAGGAGGAAGCCTTCTCTGACTGCCCCAGGAAGTTAATAGCTTGCTCTTCTGTGTTTCTCATCATCCTTACTACCCGTTCTCATCTCCTTGTGATTATCTATTTAGTATTTGCTTCCTAAAAAGACTGTGGTTTTCCTGAGAGCAGGGATGATGGTCTGCTTTACCATTGGCTGTGTTTCCAGAACCCAACACAGGGTTGCCAGATAGATGTTTTATAAATGTCTGATGAGAATTTTTAGAATGAATCTCACAGGAGAAAAAAAAAATCAGGAATGGGCTATGGGGACTATGGTGGGGCTATGAGTCCTTTTTATTTTTTCTTATCTAATGATTCTGCTGAAGCTATTCTCCTAATTTTCCATGGCAGACCCCAGTTAAGAATGGGGTGAACACAACTTTGAAAACCTCCAAGTTTGGGGCTTTCCTAGTTTAGAAAGGCTCTGAAAAAGTCAGAGAGATTCAGGTGTTTCGAAGGTTCAGGAGGCTCTAGTCTGAGGGTCCCATATTGACTGAGCCAACAGCCCTGAGGGATGGGGGCCTAGACTGGAATTGTGTGAGCTATTTCTAAGACTTTGGTCTTTTTGATGATCTCCATATGAAAGCCTGGGCTCACCTCAGGTAACATTTTTCATTGTTCTCTGTGGCCAAGTGGCCCATTATGGCAAATACAAACACCGTGGCAGTCAGTGAGGCCGTCAAGTTGAGAAGAGCCACAACAAAGGCATCCATGACACAGTTGTTGGACCGAGGGATGTATGAGCTGATTGCAGTGAAGCTGCCAAAGCCAGGGCCCATGGATAAAAAGAGCTGGTTCCCTGTCCGGCGCCACACTTGCACAGAGTACAGGGCTGGTACCTGGGGAGAAGTACTGTGTAAACTGGGATATAAAGGGAAGAGGAGTAAACCATGATATGATGGAAGATGAGAAGAAGGTGGTGAAGGAGGGAGCCAGGAGGGCCTCTATCAGACTGACAACCATTCTGTCTCTGACATCCCCATGTGGATAAGAGGATCAAAGGGCAGGGGACACCTCACCTTGGCAGCCAACAGATTCTTGAGACCAAAATGTGCGCCTTCCAGCATGAGACTCCGGATAAGGAGACAGAAAAGGATGAAGTACGGAAGGAGTACTGACACATACAGCATCTGAGTGGGAAGTATGATTCAGAAATAGAGGTTAGCAAAGGCAGAAGCTAGGACAGTAGGATCAAAGACTACTGAGAGTCAAAGGTCATATTAGAAGGAGTTAGAAGTTGGAGACCTACAGGCATCAAGTTAGGAGAATATTAGGGGGTCTCAGATAGAAGGGAGTCTATCAGATTATAAGTTAGAGGATGGCTCACCGTCCCAGTGGACTTGGGTCCTTTGATCATGGAGATGCAGATAATTAACCATGTCATAAAGAGAGAGACACTGAGATGCATAACTGGTAGTCCACCTATTTCAATTTCATCTGTGGCCTTCAGTACATTCCGGTACCAAAAGTATGTGGTGGGTGCTGTCCGCTCACATTCAGGATCTGAGGGGAACTGGCCATGGAGGAAACTGCAAGACCACGTGCCTCCCTCTTCCAATCCCCCTCCACCCCCTCCTTCCAATCTCCATCATCTTCCTGCTCATCCTTACTCTCTCAGTGACCCTCTTCCTTCTTCATTGCCCTATCCTTTTTTCAGCCCTCCCACTTGCCATTTTCTTCCCTCTCTTCTCACCAAAATCACTGGAGTTCCTCAGTAAGGGGCACATTGACCAAGGCAGTGGAGACTGGAAAGACTGAACCAAATAGAAGAGACTCCAAGCCATGAGCACACTGTAGTACAAACCCACGATGCAGCACACCTAGGAACATGAAGAATTCTGGAGACAGAAGAAAGGTAGGCCAGCAGAAGGGAGGGGATTTGACCAGAGGACTGGGGAACTGAAGAGACTTGTCCCATAGAAGTCAAGTCATGGGACCCATCCCAGGACAAGGAACTGTTGGGGTGGGAGTGGGGCATAAAGGGTAGGCCTGGGCAGCCCAGGACTCCTCACCATGAAGCTGGTGTACCCCACACCACCAATCCAGGGGCTGATGACCTTCCATACACCAATGCTGCCCTGACGCATCCTCTGACCAGCTGCCATCTCCAGGAATAGAAGAGGAACCCCGACCAAGAACAGCATGAGCATGTAGATGATGAGAAAACTGCCTGTGCAGGGAGTCAGGAGGGGCTCTGAGAACCACCTGGTTTTTCAGTGCCTGGACTTCCTTGGGGTCTGGCAAAACACGTTCCCCACCAGTGACCTCCCTCAGGGCCACCGGCATCAGGGCTCAACTGTTTCCACATCCCTCATAGTCCCAGGTGTCCCTTGGGCTCCCAGTTCCTGGAAGACCCAGATGCCTAGTTTCCACTCCCACCCTGAATCTCGGCCTTCAGCCCCACCATCCTCATGAACCTAAGTGTTCAGATATCCTGCTCCCATCCTAGGTGTTCAGGTACCTGGCTCCAGCGTTGGTGGTATAGTGGTGAGCACAGCTGCCTTCCAGGTACCTGGCTCCTGCCCTAGTCAGGTTCCCAAATCCCCCACCCCGACATATTTCAGATTATGGATAGTCCTCTGGCTCCTCAACCCCTTGTGGGTCCATGATTCCTGGTCCCCAGGCTTACCACCTCCGTTGTGAAAACACAGATAAGGAAAGCGCCAGATGGTACTCAGTCCCACAGAAAACCCCACCTGGGCCAGGAGGTACTCAGTTTTATTGGCCCATGATGGTCGGCCAGTGGGGGCTTCCTCCTTTGGCTCATCATTGTGTATGGTCTCCAGTATTTCATCATTATCTTCATCAGACCAAATGTATGATGACACAGTGTCAAACTTCTGTTCCTCTGACATCGGTTCCTCAGTAATCAAATCAGACTTTAAGAGCTGGGAAGCTGAGGTAGTAGTAATCAGGGATTTGAAATCTGAAGGTCTAGAAATCTGGGGTCTCTCATCTTGGGCCTCCGTGTTTTCACTAACAGATGTCATCCTGGGTGGACTCTAGTTCCTGCTTCTGCAGGGATGGGGCTTCCTTCTTTGTTGACCTTAAGGACATCAAGAACTACAGACTTCAGATATATGAGCTAAGGAAAGACAAGATTCATCCTACAAGAACCCCTGAGGCCTCCCAAACCCTTTCATCCTTATGTGGAGAAGAACATAGAGTCTCTACCCTTGAAAACATACCAAGAATATGTATGCCTCTAGAAAATAATAATTTTAAAACAATACTACTAACAATAATACCAAAAGACATAAAATGTCTAGGAATAATTTTAACAAAAGATGAGCAAGGCCTTTACACACACACACACACATACACACACACAAGTGTACACACTAAAATATTACTGAGAGAAAATAAAATTAAGGGATATAAGATGTTTGTGAAATGGCAGTATAACAATGTCAATTATCCCCAATTTGATCTACAAATTCAATGCAATTCTTATTGAAATCACATCAGGGTTTTGGGGAAATTGACAAGCTGATTCTAAAATGTACATGAAAAGCAAAAGGCCTAGAATGGTTAATACAATCTTGACAAAGAAGAACCAAATGTAAAGACTAATTATAAAGCTATAGTAATTAAGAGAGTATGGTACTGGCACAGGGATCTATGGCACAAATGGGTCCATGGATCAATATACTGTACTGTTTAATATGGTAGCTACTAGCCACATACGGCTATTTAAATTAATTAAAATTAAGTAACATTAACAATTTAGTTCCTCAGTCATACTAGCCACATATCAAGTGCTCAGTAGCTACATGGCTACCATACTGGAAGGACAGATATCAAACATTTCCATTATCACAGAAAGTTCTGTGGATACTACTGGGAGAGTTCAGAAACACACAAATATAGATGCCTGATTTATAATAAAGATGGCACTGCAAAGTTGTAGAGAAAGGGCATTCTTTTCAATGAACACTGGTTGTTAGAGCAATTGGAAATCTACACAGAGATAAATGAACCCTGGCCTCCCCAACTTCACATATTAAATAAAAATCTATTCAGAGAAGATCGAAGTTCTAAATGTAAAAGATTAAACAGTAACACTTCGAGATGAAAAACCTAGAAGAATATCTGCATGACTTGGGTGTAGGCACAGATTTCTTAAATAGGACATAAAAAGCACCAACCATAAAGGAAAAGTTTGACACACTGGATTAAATTAAATATAGAAAATTCTTCAATGAAAACTTTCATTAAATGAATAAACAGGGGCGCCTGGGTGGCTCAGTTGGTTAAGTGTCCGCCTTCGGCTCAGGTCATGATCCCAGGATCCTGGGATTGAGCCCTGCATCAGGCTCCCTGCTCCGCAGGGGGCCTGCTTCTCCCTCTCCTCCCAGTTCATGCTCTCTCTCGCAGTCTCTGTCTCTCTCTCAAATAATAAATAAAATCATTTAAAAAAATAAATGAGTAAACAGACAAGCCCTGGAACAGTGGAAGATATTTGCAACATATATGGGAGACAGAATAATGCCCTTCTCCAAGATATTCACATCCTAATCCCTAGAACCTGTAAATATGTTACCTTATGTGGAAAAAGTGACTTTTCAATGTGATTAAGTTATTGATCTTGAAATGAGATTATCCCGGATTATCTATGATGGGCCTAATGTAATTATAGGGTCCTTCTATGGGAAAAAGGGAGGTAGGAGACTCAGAATCCAAGGAGGAAATGAGATGGCAGGAGCAGAAGTTAGAGTGATGAACCTTGAATGTGGAAGAAGGGGCTGTGACTCAAGGAATGCTAGCTGGAAAAGGCTAGGAAATGGATTTTCCCCTAGATCCTATGTAAGGAACACAGGCATGCTAACACCCTGCTTTTAGCCCAGTGAAACAGATTTCAGATTTCTGACCTCCAGAACAGTACAATAATACATTTATGTTGTTTTAAGCCACTAAGTTCGTAGTTGTTAGAGCAATAGTAGGAAACTAACAAAACATATAACCAAAAAATGGCTGTTTCCCAAATAATATTTATAAAAAAGAAATATGTACAAATAAATAAGAAAAGTAGACAAGTTAAAAAGTGGGAAGAGAGGGAAGAGAAAGCTTGAACAAGCTTACTATTAAAGAAAATATACAAATTGATAACCATTGGAAATGGTGGTCATTACTCAACTTCACTGGTCACCAAGAAAATGTAAATAAAACCACAATGAGAATTGATGGATATATACGCAATAAATTGCATATGGTAAAATGTTAATTGTAGAACCTATGTTGATGGGTATATTGATGGTCACTGTATACATCTTCCAACTTTACTGTATGCCAACTAATAAAATGTTGGGAGGAAACCACAATGAGACCACTATATACCTACTAGATGAGTTAATATGAAAAAGTCTGATTAAACCAAATGATGGCACATGTGGAAACTTCTGGAACTCACATACATAGTTGGTAGAAGCATAGATTGGCACTACTTAAGAAAACTAGTTGAACATATCTATATACTTTAAATATTTTCATATTTTATAATCCATTCCAAAGTGATCATCTAACAGAAGTGTATACATAAGTACACCAAAAACCATGTCCAAGAATGCTAATAGTTGTACTATTCATAACTGCCCAAACCTGGAAACAATACAAATCTCCTTCAACAGTAGAATGGATCAGTGCTAGTATATTCATATGATGGGTATGCAACAATAAAAACAGTGAATTGCTGATATGCACAACCTGGATGAATCTCAGAAATATTACTGTGAATGAAAGAAGCAAGGCAAAGAAGAGAACATACTATATAATTTCACTTATATGAAGTTCAAGAAGAGGCTAGACAAATTCATGGTGTCAGGAAGCCAGGAGAGTGTACTTACATTGTGATAATTTATCTAATAATAATTATGATTTGCACATACTTCAAATGTGATACTTTAATGAAAGTTTATCTTAGGGGCAACCTGGCTGGCTCAGTTGGTAAAGCATGTGACTTGATCTCTGGGTTGTGAGCTTACTTTAAAAAAGTTTATCATAAAAATGAACATTGGAAAACAAACCAACCAAAACCCCTGGATTTCTATATAGTAATAATAAACAGAAAATGGATTTTAAAAAAGAAAGATAGCACTCACACAGCAACAAAAACTATATGGCATCAAGAAATACACCTAGGGCACCTAGGTGGCTCAGTCGGTTAAGCGACTGCCTTCGGCTCAGGTCATGATCCTGAAGTCCCAGGATCGAGTCCTGCATCGGGCTCCCTGCTTGGCGGGGAGTCTGCTTCTCCTTCTCACCCTCTCCCCTCTCATGTGCTCTCTCTCTCTCTCTCATTCTCAGACTCTCAAAATAAATAAATAAATCTTTAAAAAAAAAAAAAAGAAATACACCTAAACATTAAACCAAGACCACAAATATGCAGAAAGATTCCATGTTCATGAATATAAATACTCAATACTATAAGGATGGAATTTCTCCCCAAAATTGATTTGTAGATTCAATGCCATTTCAATCAAAATCTCAATGTAATTTTTCATGAGAGCTAACAAGATTTTACAATTTATATAGAAGAATAAAGTGCTGAATATAATGAAGAGACTGCCACTAGTTCTTTGTCACTGGCCAAGATGGAATAAAACAATAATACATGACCAGTCTCTCTCACTGATAACAGCTAAAATAGAATATAAGAAACAACAACCTGAGAGCTTTGAAAAGCAAACTGAAGGGAAAGAAGCAGACTGGGGAGTTAAGTTACAACCTGAATAGGGCGCCTGGGTGGCTCAGTTGGTTAAGTGACTGCCTTCGGCTCAGGTCATGATCCTGGAGTCCCGGGATCGAGTCCCACATTGGGCTCCCTGCTGAGCAGGGAGTCTGCTTCTCCCTCTGAACTTCTTCCCTCTCATGCTATCTCTCATTCTCTCTCTCTCAAATAAATAAATAAAATGTAAAAAAAAAAAAGTTACAACCTGAATGACTTATAATGGGAGGCATGAGTTTCATATTTCTTTCCCCTCCTTTTTCCTGATCCAAGAATAAGCCAAACCAGGAAACTGTGCAATAAGCACCAACAGCAGAAACTCCGGGAGAAGCCTCCTTTTTTCCAAAGGACCAGGAAAAGAAGCTCCTATGCACCAGACAGTGTGTGTGTGGTGGGGGCGGTAGATACCGATTTTCCCTTCTCACCTCAGAGGCTCACCTCTGAACTACACAAGCAGAGAACAAATGTGAAGAAGTGCAACAAGGTTCTGACAACTGAACAACGATACAAACCACTGTCCAAGTCATAGACTGACCGCAGGGTGGCCCATGCTAATCCAAGTAGCACAGCAAAGCCTTTGAAGATTGAACTAAATTGTAACCAACACCCACAGAAGATATGACAAAACCTGCCATGTGAACTTACCCAGGCTGACGGCCTGCTAAAACAAATAAAGCAAACAAAATTCAACATTCTCCACAGGATTTAAAAAAAATTTTTTTTCTCCACAGGATATTAACATGATCCTGAGTTCACAACATAATATTAAAAATTCCCAGGATACAATCCAAAACTACTCATCATTTAAACACACACAGAGAAAAATCTGACCATTTCCCAGGGAAAAGACAATTAACAGATGTCAACCCTAAGATGACCCAGATGATGGAATTTATTATTTTTAAAACTGCATATATTTTTACAGCTTTTTTGAGGTATTATAGACAATTAAGAAATGTATATATTTAAGGCATAATATGTAATGTTTTGATATATGTATACATTGTGATATGATCACCCCATAAAGTTAATTAATTTATCCCTCACCTCACAGTTATTATTTGTGTGTGTGTTAAGAACATTTAAGATCGACTCTCCTAGCAAATTTCAAGTATACAATACATTATTATTAACTATAGTCACCATGTTGCACATTAGATCTCCAGAACTCATTCAGCTTATAATGGAAAGTTTGTTCCCTCTGACCAACAGACATCTCTGCATTTCCTCCACCCCTCATCCCCTGGTAACCATTCTTCTATTCTGTTTCTATGAATTTGACTTTTTTTAGATTCCACATATAATTGAGATCAGCAGTATTTGTTTTTCTGTACCTG